ACCTACCGTTCAAATTCCACTAGATCTGGGGATAAAGTGTCTGAAAACTGTATAAATTCTGACTTCCCATCTTCTTCCAGCATTTGTTTTTCACATTCTTGAAGCAAATACCAGATGGCAGAGTCACTTTCACTCACATCTTCTGAGGTTGATGTAGAGCTGGCAAGAACACAAGAGGAAAAAAAAAACCACATGAACAACTTCTTAACTGGATTAATAAGGCCCTTGTCATGGTCACTCCAGAGCTCAGGACCATTTTTCCCAAGCCAGCTTTTTCCTCMTTCTTTTGTTTTGCAAGGAATGAGAAGTCCTTACGAGAGATCAGCTACATAGAAAGGAAAGAAAGTACAGGCACTGAGTGGAAATGAAACCAACAACAGGTTTACAATGTGTACTTGATGGGCCTAACAGGGATCCAGGTGAAATCTCTTTGTCCTTTCCTCATGATGAAAAACCTCTGCTTGGAAATACAGTAGCAATGACAAACAGGTTCAGAGATGCTGGGATGGAAGCAAATACAAAGTATTATCATATTTYCTTGCCTAGTAGAAGCCCTTACCTGTGACTGCCAAACTGCCTCCGGACATATTCCTCCCTGACTTCCTCCAAGCTGGATGGGCTCCCATCCTCCAGACTGCAGCTTGCTGTTGTCAGCAGAAAAGTTACTGTCACTTTAATGGCACTTTTGGCTTCTCTCACCCTCAGCCCTCACCAAGCAGAATACTGTCAGCAACTGGTTCTTCACAAGACASAGCTTTTCATTAGGCAAAAATGATGTGAAAGAAGAAACATATGCCTCTCCTACAACATAACTATCACTACTGGGAGTTTATCAACACTGAGGAACTTAGAATCAATGCCTTCTTCCTAACATTGATTTGACAGAACTGATGGGGGAAACAACCAGCAAATCAAAGTCCAGCCATGCACTAGTCAATACGTTTTGATTACCTTATAATGAACAAATTGCATGTAAAAACCTCTGACATTCAACCAATACTTCACAGGCAATATGAATTTTACACATATGCAAGTAAATACAAGGGGAAGCTTGTCTCAAACTCTCCTCAGCCAGCCTCACTGCTTGTCATCCCTTCAGTTTTGCTCTGTAAAACTATTCTTTCTACCTATGACTCACTTTTATGGGTTATCTAAGGATGTGGGTTCAGATGAGATTGCTCATTTTAAGCATTGAGACTTCTAATTGATGCAAATGATTGCAGGTGCAAATCACATGAGTAGCGTTTTTGTTTTTTTTTCTCGCTGACAGGAATTTGGACATTTGAAGGGATAAAAAAGTAYGCCCAAAGCCTCTACCCTGTCAGCTGCTAGTCCTGTTTGCTGACAGCAAAGGCAGTGGCCAGCAGCAGTAAACACAAGGCACGCTGTTGAGGGCATGAAGCCCCATAGCAGGACCTGCCACAAGCACAGACGGTACCTGCTCTGTTACAGCRTGACTGGGGTGTCACAGGCTGTAACAGAGCAGGGCACAAGGATGGCCCGCCAAGTTGAAAGAAAACACAACTGTAGCATCTCACTTAACCATTTCTATTGGAGTACATGCTTAAGCAAAGGTTTCCACTTCCTATCCTAGGAAATCCTTTTACCTCACACCACAGCGTGYTGTTCCGCAGTCTAAATTCTCGCCAGGCTGGGTGCTGGTGACAGCTGTGACTCGCACTGTGCCACACTGCTGCAGCCAGGAGAAGCACATGCACTCCTGCAGGCTCCTGGTGGGAGCCTAARGATCCAGCCTGGGGACCCAAGCCAGCCCCACACTTGTCGGGGCAAATCGGCAGCAGCTGCCAAGAGTACTCAGGCTGAACCACCTGCTGCCATGGGATAGCAGGAATTGCTTGTTTCCTTCCTTCACCTAGGCYAGGGAGGGGGTAGGAAAGGCTGAGTTTTATAGGGGGATTTCTGAGATGCAGTGCTTAGTGGGTTGACAGACTTTTCACTATCYCTTTTTCATTGGCACCACTAAAGCCACAGTTGGCTGTGGCTTCAATGGCTCAGCTGTGTGCCTCTCTCTATTTAACARATACATAAAAACCAAGTCTAGGCTCTTTGTCCAAACAAATACTTGCATACAGTTACCTTTCATCTTCAGCAAAGAACACAAGGTTTGCTCCAGCTTCTGGATAGATGTCTTAGCCTTACGCAAAACCTGATACTAAACATAAGAAGAAAACAGATCTGATTGTTCTCTGCTCTAACTAGATTCATGTTTTAACATGCCTTCGTTGCTTTCTTTATTTTTCCTTCACATGTCCCTTCAGTAATTTCCATGTCTCTGTGAAAACTACTGTGATGTTTCACTAGCTAYCCTTATACGTATGGAAAGGGGAAACAATTAACAAGAGAGTAAATGCCAACAYTGAATATAAACACTTGGGTATATATTATGCAGTACACACMCACATAACATCCAGTCACAGAGGCATTTGCTACTTAACTCTGATCTTTTTTCATCAGCAAATGGTCTTGTTTGGATCGTTCTCTTCTTGGAGCATGTCCAGAAATACCATGCTATGAGGTCTTGTTGGGTGCCTACCAACTTAAGGTATAAGATTTCACTAATGATTTCCCAGAGAATTTTGCTAGGGGAAGCCTTTGCCATGTTCTACATTGCTGCAGCCTGGGTTACAGCAGTGTAGAACATGGCAAAGACCTCCCCTAGCAAAAGTCTAGATTAACAGGATTTTCTGCAGTGCTGCCCATTATTCCATAACCTATAGGGAGCACAACTGAAAACATATGGCCAGTGCCTTTAAACAKCTCCAAAACAGACCATCCAAGTCTACCTCACAGAGCTTTCATGCTGGATAWTTTAGCCAGCACTAAGCACTAGGATTACAAGCGACCTTCTGTATTTAGGCTTTTTAAGATATTAAACTTCCTTGGCCCCCAAGAGTCACACAAGGGACACATGATACTAGGAAGAATCAATTTTAAGAACCGGCATGTGAACATAGTCTCCTGAGACCAGGCAAAGGAAGTAGTTGTTTAGTTTTCTGAGATCACGCTGACTTCACGTTAACTTGTATCTTGCTCAGAACATGGCCAACAGAACTCTTACTTGAACCTACATGAGAGCTAAAGGACTGAGCAGGCACAAGCCATATATAGTGGTATTTAGCATATTCAGGGGACAGTTCCTGTTCTAAACAATCCTTATCCTCTCTATTTTACAAACTGGAAAACTGAAGGTAACCACTGTAACTAAGTGAATCACTGGCAGAGTTGAGAAGACTCCTGATTTTTATTACTCTGCCTTGAGCATGGTAATTTCAGTCTTGTCAGTGTATTTTGAGTGAATTTCATGTTTATAAACAATTTTGATTAAATAGTTTCTTCCTTTAGTAGAGACCACGAAACAGTACTGGTGCTTTTTTTTTCCTGAATTGATTTTTTTCCAGTGTCTTGAAGACAAAGTGCCCCTCATAAAGGTGAATTAATTACTCCTTTCCCACTAACTTCTTCTGTCCCTAAACTCACTGCTCTGATTTCAGAACAAAATGCTGTGACATCAACTTCATCATGGGATCCCTTGGTTTGTTTCCAAAACTATAAAAGAAAATGCAAAGCTCTGAAAATGCTGCAAAAAGCCTGTAAGAAAAGTAGAGATAAGGCACATGATAAACCCATGACCCAGAAACTACAAACTGGACAACTCACTTACTGAGTTGACAGCTTTAAAGAGATCCAGGAAAGGTGCACACAGTGAAATTACACACTTACTGGCACCCATAAAGATACAGTGATCATCCTCATAAACTGAACCTAAACCTGGTTAAATTTGAACATACTCATGTATTACAGCGATGCAGAGAGAAATAGTCACTGTTCCGCACCTTTGAGGCACAGCTGTCTGACTGGGATAAAACTCTTCCCCGCAAGCTGCTGAAGAGTCTTGCCAGAGGAACCCAGTGGTGTGCCTGTGGCAAATGCTGCTTTGCCATGCAGTGTTTTACCTCTTGCAGGTATGTCAGGGGACTGAGACTYGCTTTGGCATRTGTCTTCCTACAGTCTCCAGCTGAGATTGTTGAAAGCTGCAATGCAACATTTATTTATACTGAATAAAGATGTAAGTGAAGAAAAAGGATCTTACAGCCTGCATAGTGGACAGACAAAAAGAAAAAAATCTGGCTGACTATCAAGAATTTATCTTTCTGTAGAAAATCATAGAGTTCTAAATATTCTCTTTGCCTGAGAGATACCTGCCTACTAAGTACTAAAATCTAATTCACCACTAAGTTAACTGCAACCCAGCTGAAGCCAGCCTCCCATCTCCTGGACCCTTCCCTACAAAGATCTGATGCTTCATTTCCATGAAATATCCAGGGCTTGGCTTCACAAAGCACTGAGACTCCTCTGCTCCCACTGATGTCGCTAAATGACAGGGTTCTTTACAATATCGATTTTTTTCCCCACTAAACTGTGACATTGATGTGGGCAACGATACCAGACACACATTTGCTCGTGAGCGACAGATCCAGACCCAGCCGGTCCTGCTGCTGCTGCCCCGCCGGCCTGACACAGCCTGAGGCGCCCGCCTGGAAATCCCTTCCCGGCCTTCCACTGGATTAATGCCCACTGCCTCGCTACCGACCGCAAGCACAGCCTAGAGGTAAGAGTGCCCGCCCCTGCTGCTCCTTCTGAGGTCGGGAGGGACAGGCCGGCCGGGGGACGCCCGTGAGGGGCCGCGCCGGGAGCCACTCTGGATCCCTCGGTCGGTCGCTCTGTCAATCAATCCATCCGAGCCCGCCCGGACCCGCCCCGGCCGCCGCCGCGCCTCTGCCGCCCGCGCCAAGCAACACGAGCCGCACGTGGCGGACGGCCAATCGGCACGCAGCCGGCGCGCGACAACGGCCAATCAGAAGACGGGAAAAACGCGGGCTGCACGCGCCGGTGGGGAGGGGAGTGGGGCAGGGAAGAAGCGGGCGGGCAAGGCACGCTGGGAGCTGTAGTCCTCCTGGAGGTGGGCCGCGCCGTCGCCTCCCCTCTCCGCCCGTGGGCGGGCGGAGCCGGCGGCGCCGCGGGCCCCCATGGCGGCGGCGGCGGAACGCACGGACGAGTTGGTGCGGGAGTATCTGCTCTTCCGCGGCTTCACCGCCACCCTGAAGCAGCTGGACGCCGAGATCAAGGCGGACCGGGAGAAGGGTTTCCGGGTGAGCGGCGGCCGCGKCCCCGTTCCCAGCTGGGCGCGGGTGCCCCCCGGGGAAGACGCGCTCCCCTGTGGGCCGCGGACGCCTCTCCGCGCTCCCGGGGCTGGGCGAGGGGGTCTGACAGCTGGGAAAGCCCTCGGAGCCCCCGCGCTTCCCCGCTGGGCTGGGCTGGGCTGGGCTGTGCACCGGGCCCGGCCGGCCGCGCAGGCGGGACCCCCGCATCCCGGAGCCGCCCGGCCCGCCCTGCCGCCGCTCGTGTACGCGCAGCCTCCGGCGCGGGGCTTTGGCCGATTGAAGGCTCCCSTCCTGCTCGGCTCCGCAGCGGCGGCAGCGCAGGACAGCGGGCTCCATCCCTTCGCCTGCCTTGCGAGCCAGGGGCTGCAGTTCGCCCCGCGCCGCTGGTCAGCCTTGGCCGTCTGTGCAGCTTGTCCGACCTGAAACCGACCGGCGGATTCTCGGCTTCGAGTCGAGAGGAACGGAGAAGACGCGCGTACCGAGAGGGCAGCGGCAGGAAGACATTTTTGTGAATTCATCTTTCTCGGTCATGAGATTTTTGTCCAGTGGCTTTATAGCTCCGCTCCTTAGTTTGTATGTTTGAGCACCAGCTACCTTAACTAACTTGGAAATGGGCACAGAATTYGGCTGTCTCAAAAATACAGTTTCCGTTCTTTGTGTGAGCTTCATATTCCTCTAGCATTAGTTTTGGGCACCGAATGTAGTGGTTTGAACAGTCAGGTTTTTATTTGACCAGCAATAGAAGCACTACTTTTAAAAAATAAAAACAACATACTTTATTAATGATAAAACACCAGCACTTCGCTAACATTTACAGTTTGGCAGACATTGGAACTAATTTGAATTATTGTCCAAGAAGGGTCTGTTGAAGTCACAAACTTCACCCTTTTTATCTGTGGGAAGCCACAGAGATAGGAGCTGTGTCCTAGGATATTAAGTGATGAGGGGAGAGAAAACCACATATTAAACAACCTTAGTTTAATTTTATAGAGGATACAGGTTTTTTTTTAAATTTTCTGATGTCTGTCTTGGCCTTCAAAAACCACTGAACAAAAAATCTTCCCACACCACCATTTTGCCTTATTCRTATTGCAGAAATTATTTCCAAAGGGACATACTGATAAAAAAAATCCTGTTGCAAAATTTTATTCTTGCTGTGTTAATAGGTGATGTTACTAAAGGTAACAAGATTRCAATAGAGCAGAACTGACTTCCTCTTTCTGTTGGCTAAATAGAGGTTTTTTTCCTTTTAGTCTAAAGGTAGTACTTTTTTTCAGGTGCTGCACTTGAGTTTACAACATTTAATCACATTATTTGTTTCATTATCAACTGACTTGTAAAAGAGGTAGAAAGTTTTGCTTACTTGCAAAAAAACCCATCAGTTGGGTTAAAAAAAAATGCGAYATTTCTGTCAAAATCTGTTTGGCCGTGTTCTGTTGTGATTCTTTTTCCTTCATTTGAAAAGTGCTGCAGAGTGGAAGAATGCTAATACAAAATGCAGAGTGTTTCCAGGATTAGAAAACAGCTAATGCATAAGGATTGTATTGTACTACTTATGCAGTTAAAGCTTCTCAGCGCTAAGTTACAGAAAGTCTTGTGCCAGAAGAGCCCTCACGTGACTGCAGTCTTCCCTGTTTTGCCCTCTTTAGGTGGATAAGATAGTGGACCAGCTGCAGCAGTTTGTTCAGAGCTATGATCTGGCTGCCCTGCGGGATTACTGGAGTTATCTGGACCGCCGCCTTTTCAGCCGTTTGGAAGACGTGTATCGGCCAACAGTKAACAAGCTCAAAACCAGCTTATTCCGACACTACCTTGTCCATGCTATTCAGGTAGTATTTGATGTTTGGGCTTCTACTTTATAAAGATCCTGGTCCCTCAAACCAAAGCAATAAACTACTGCTGTGAGCCTCTGACAGGCCTGCTGGGTAAGGAACAAGCAATTCATGTGTCAYGATCAGGAGTGTAGTAAGGAGTTTGATGCAGAYTCACATGACAAGCTTGTGTGCAGGRTAGGGAAACTTGGGCAAGAGGGAAACATGGTTTGCTGGGAGCAAGATATTGACATTCATATAAAGACAGGTTCCCCTCAGAAAGTCTYGCTCAGTTAACTTGGATACTGGCGAAGGACACAAGGTTCAAAATGGAACAGGGAAATGTAGGAGAGGAAATTAATGTCTTTGTGCTTGCTTTGAATAGAACAGAAAGAAATAAGCTTAAAATGGAATAGAGATTTTTTTCTGTTCAAACCCTGGAAAGTCAATGGAATGTATTYTCAGTTCATCCTTCTTGATTCCATTCCCTGACTGAACATCTTTAATRATGGGTGTTGGAGGAGGAGTCAAAATCTAATGCATATTTCCTGGAGTGTGTATTTTCRTGTTTTGTTTTACCATGTGCTTACTCTGAAGTGTGACAGTCCTGTCTGAATAATGTGTCAGATGGAAACCTTTTCAGGCTGCATCTGCTGTAGACTTGAGTAATTTGAATCATACTTTAGTCCTGTATATGAATGTCAGTGCATTCTTCACTGGTTTAACTGGAAATCAATGTGTTTGGTTTGGYTTGTCTCAGCCTTTAAGCAAGATTGTGGTGACTAGAAAGAATGCTGGATTAAGTGCATTTGTGAGCTTCTCCTAGTGTATTTGAGATTTCTTTTGTTTCTTGATGAATCTGTAACTAACCACTTGTTGTGCCAGATGGTGAAAGTAGTTGTTATTTTGTTCATAACAAAAAGCCAACATTCCTAGACCTAATCTGGTAGCATTAATGGAAGTTTGAGCCCTGTTCTCCTTGCTGTGTTTCAGAATGGCCGCAATGACAAGGCACAAGAGTTTTTCCTCAAGCAGGCCTCTGAGCTCCAGAACCAGGCAGAGTGGAAGGATTGGTTTGTCCTGCCCTTCCTCCCTGCTCCAGACTCCAACCCCACCTTCGCTACCTATTTCTCACGCCAGTGGGCAGATACGTTTATTGTGTCTCTGCACAACTTCCTGAGTGTCTTATTTCAGTGCATGCATATCCTTTTTTGCAGCTAGYAGTTATATCTCCCTTGTCCTGGTGTTACACTGTCAACAGTGCCAAGAATATAGTWCTACAGAACTTGCTGCTTTCAGGTGATTGTTTACAGCAAAAACTTAATTGAAAGCTTGGTTTTTATGAGAGGATGTTGGAATAGTTATTGCTCAATTATCTGATGATACATTGTAGTCTCTGGGCACAAACTATTGTTGTGGTTACTGATGCTGACTGATCCCTATGCTCGTCACTAGAAATCTTGTCCACATCTTGCCCTGAAATGCATTTACTCTTTGCTTGACATAGTACAAAACAGRCACACAACCTTGGGTCACAGTCCATAACTGTACTGGCATCTTCTGTTAGATCCTTCTTTGGGTGCATTATGTTCACAACATTGCCTAGGGACAGCTTGCTATAATAGAGCAGTTGATTGTAAAAGAAAGTTTTTTGCCCCACACTACAGAGTTCTTTCTTTTGTGTTTGGTGATGGKGAGGCTTATGCTGCAGCTGGAATACAGGTCATCTTGAACTGTTTCTTCACTGTACAGTAAAGCACTAACAGACCCTTTCTTGTCCTCCACTTCTGACTCTAAAAAGAAATAATCTAAATCTTGAAAAAACCACATGAAATAGTTTGTGCAACAGCAAAATAAAAAGTTGACTTAAGTRATTAAGCTGTTGCTAATCTTCAGGTCATGCACATACTTTTTGCTAATTTTGTGGACTGGGCAGCTTTGTTTTTACAGATACATGTCTGGTATGGAGTGCTGGCTTTTAGAATTAAGCCAGTGCACACAAGTTATTGCCTCGATTTTCTTTAACTTTGCTTACCAGTTCCAGTCATACTGAACTTCGAAGCTGAATGCCTCAGGAGCAGTCTCATACAAGAAGAAAATGAATCGTTGCGGCATAAGGTCAGAACTGAGGTCACTCTTTAGCTGCTGACGGTGTGATGCTGTGAGTTTTGTAAAATTGGTTCCATCCATTCAAGAATATTGTAACTATTCAGTTTGGTGCAGATTGTAATTGTAAGGCAGATTATTTAAGTCCTTTGTTTTATTTTGATTTATCTTYCAATTGTCTCTAGCAAACTTAGTGTTATGATCACATTGTGAAATGTGTGTTTAGGGTATTTCCATCCCTCTGCTGGAGGTGATTGTCTCCCCTCCTTGTGGTGTCTGACAGATGACTGAGTAATATACAAATTCCTTTTCTGTTACACTGCAAATCACAAAAAGGTGAAACTAGTGGCAGGTTAGGGATATATATTGTAGAATTATTGAATGGGTTGGGCTGGAGGAATGTGTGGCTGATATTTTGAATAGTGTTCAGCAACTTCCAGATTTTAGCTGATAGAGCARTAGGAGCAATGGAAATGGGCAGGAAATTCTGGCAAAGAGACAGAAACTGTTACTTCTGAAATGGCCACTTCACCATGTTTGATGTGCACTTAAAGCAGTTTGAATGTACTAATGGAAATGTAGTGAATGTCTGTTTCTCAACTCTGGTTCTTARGTAAAACATAAGAAGGGTTGATTGGTTCAGACAAAATGTTTCCCAGCTCCATGGCTTGTTTTTGACAGTATCCTCAGCAGATACTTAGGGAGAGGGTGTAAAAATATGTAACATGGGTCAGTCATTTCCCGGTGTAACTTCTTATTAGAGAGACTCAAAATCTTCAGTTTAAGAAGTTTCTAAACTATAGATCACATGTGCATGATCACATACAAGTAGGAAGGCTTATTCATGTAAGCAGAAATTTAATTTCACTTCCTCAAACATTCCACATAAAAGCTCTTTTTGTATAAATACTCTGGTAAAGTTTGTGCTTTACCTCCTATGTTACAAAACATTATGTGGTATGTTATGCRTCCTGTTTTCAGTGTTTTAATAGCTGTTCAACACTGTCCTAAAAATGTTGAAGTAAAATAGAATAATTGATTTCAAAAAGGAGGCACTTTTTTGGGAAAAAATACMTGTCGCTGCGTATTGTATGGAGTTAGTAGATCAGTCAAACAGAAGGGTTCTGCAAAGATGGTCAGTGAATAGAGACAGCAGGATAAGGTATATTTTGAAACAGAGCTCTTKTATTTCCTCCAATTTTGTATTCCTCCAATATTGTATTTACTTTTMGTCAAATTAAAGCTATGGTTTGTATTTTGTATGTTGGTTGATATCATTTGCAATCTGAATAAGGGTTTTCTGTCAAATAGAGGTAAAACAAGACTTTCCCTTTTAGAGAACTCRGGTCAGAAGAGGAACCAGCTATCTATAGAATACAGGTTTAAAAAAAAAAGATGGGAACAAACACTGAATTTTATGCTAGCTAAAATTAAGTAGTGATTCTGTTTTATGCTGTTGAAACAGTGCAAATACATAAATAGCAAGTTAGATTTCTAAAGCTAATATTTCCTCCAGAATTTTCTTTCCTTAAATACTGTGATAAAAGGAAAAATAATTATATCTGAAAAACAAACGTACAGAAACAGAAAAGCTTGAGGARCACTTTATGTGAAGAAGAGTCATGGGCATAAACATCTGTTTCAGAAAGCTGCCTCATGAGGTTCCTCTTTGCTAAATGGGAAAAGAGACGTTTTTCTTTCTCCATAATGTGGAGAAAAATCACACTGTCGTGCTTGGGAAGGAGTTGCACAGGGTATGGAGCTGGACTTCAGGGTGACGTGGTTTCACTGACCTTGGTGCACCCTGCCAGTTGTGGGAAGGGTTGGCCGTGGGAAGAAGATTACCTTCTAGGCTCCGTGCCTGCATTGCACTGATCTTAAACTGTCTGCACAGAGAGGGGCTGGTAAACTCTGCCCTGCCCAGCTCTTGCTTCCCAGCACCACTAATGTCCTCACAGCAGCAGGCCAAGGAGAGGAGTCAAGGGTTTTAAGTAGGCTCCAGTTTCATGTGTGTAAAGTACTGATTGTTTTGACTAATTGGGCTGATGTGGTGCTCAGCCAGTCAGAGCAACTTTTTTCCTTCCCCACCCTTCTAGGGCTGTTGAAATAAAAGGAGTAAACAACTTCAGTGAGTGGGAAGGAGGTGAATCTCAGTGACCCTGTGTTTACTTGGCTCATTTCTCTTGTTGTAGCTGTTTGCTCTGCAGGCTGAATCCTCCCGCATGAAGAAAGAGGAACTGGAGGTGGAACAAACAGTTATGCATCACAAGTTGCCTGCATATGTGGCCAACATGGATCGACTAGGGGACTCTGAACTGTGAGTGCCTGGAGGAGAAGGGCTGGGGACAGGCACAGCTGCTTTTGTTAGGTCAGGGAGGTTCCTGGAGGGTCATTTCCTTGTCCCCTACTATGGGAGTCAATGCAGAAAGAAATCGAGGCAGAAATTATGGTGACCTAAGTAGGTTTAATGGAATTCATGATGGGTATCTCTCCTGTCATTTGGGAGGTATTTGTAAGCTAGTGAGAGCCCAAGCACACATGGAACTGATTCTGCTCTGCTTTCAGCATTGCACCAAGGTGTTCTGGGCATCTAGGCCATTAATAGCAGTGCAATAACCATGCAGCATTGCTCAACTGAAGCAGATTGTCTCTTGATTCCAATTAACTTGAGTGTTTGCAGTGGCATAGGTGAGTGCTTTGTGTTGTTTTTTAGATACTGTAGGACCCAAAGGGATTCTTTGGGAAGTTCTTTGGGAAGTTACACAGGGATGTTTTCTTCCTTTTGCAAAGTCAAGGGAAAAGGAGCTTTTCTTATGTGAGGCTCAGTTATGTACAYAATTCCCCATGAACTTGTTGCAGTTAAAAGTGCATTTTATGGCTAYATGTATTGTATGCCTACCTCTGCAAATTAGACAACATACACAGTGATACAGCTTTGTTACTTGTTATGTTTTTTACCCCCATACAGAGTCAGGCAAAGCAAGTCTGTGTGGAGTCACTGTGTTACTGTGACTTATTTTTTTTTTCTTGCTTTAAAAGGATCTGAAAGTATATGTAGCTCAGCTACAAGTTACAAATAATGTTGTGGCTTCAAGTTTTTCATGTGCTTCTTTCACTTATATTTGGACAGGATGAGGATTGATTAAATTAYCCTGTCGCCAGTGACAGATAGAAATTGTAGCAGACACTACACACAAAATGTTTTAATCTAAAAGCTGTCTAATTAAATAGACTTAAATGTATGTTGAACAATCTTGATAATTGCTCTGTAGTCTGCACAGGACAGGCTATAGTTTAATTTGTGGTATTTTTTTTTAAACTATGTGGAAAGTTYTGATGCTATCTGCATGTATGAAGAGTGTGRCATGAGGGATGGGATAATTCATTCCCTTATTTCTTTTTGTCCATTTGAATTAGAAAAACTTCCCTAGAAAGTGGCATTTCTTGTGTATGCAACTTGTCTCTTAGTCTGGGGGCCAGTTCTGGTTGCTTATTTTTACATCTCTGCTTAACTCAAAGCCCAGCTTTGGTAGAACTGTTCTTCCTTGAAGAGTAAATACAGACAGTGAAGATTATTGTATTCCCCTGCCCCTTGCTGCCACTCTGCTCTCAGAGGAAGCTGAGCAGAGTGAGGTCAGACAGTTGCGTTCTGGGAAGCAGCTGCTGCTCTTGTCATTGTGGACTGAGAAGGGAGGTTTTTATAATCACAGAAATGGGCTGTAGCTCTCTTATTTTATTTGGGTCTAGATTTTGAGATATTGAGGGCTTGTGATGTYGCATTGTTGAACATAACTTGCTGTTTACCAAAGGGTGTTCAGTGAAGGATTGGATACTGAAGGTCTATCAAAGTAGGTCCGTTTTATGCTTTGAATTGGGAATCCCATCTGAATATGTTCTATAGAAACCTGAATTCCTCTGCCTTTCCTTTAGGGTCTTTCTGAACAAACCAGATGGAGTGGAAGGAATTTTAGGTGGCCCTACAGAGGATTCAGCAACATTCAGTTTGAACTCACTGTCTCTGGCATCTGGGAGAAGTGAGCTTTTGGTTACAGTAACTATAATGACTGCTCCAGGCACTAACAGGATATATTCAAATAGTTTTTTAATGCATAGTGGTGCACTAGCTTGGAAATGTACATCCGTTTTCCAGTGGTTCAAACAGCTGTCACTTCACTTAACTGAGTGGTCTTTGACCAGGTTGCTCGCTACACTTTCATGCTCTATTTGGTGGTGTTTTGTTTTTTTCATTAGAGATATGACCTGCAATCAGAGGAGTACAGCACATTCTCTTCAGTCCCGGGGAGGCTTTCTGTCCTCTTTCCTCTCCCAAAGTAAAAAGGGTCCTTCCAGACCTACCCATTCAAGTGGGGCTTCTCCAACACAGACTGGCAGTATTCTGCTAGGGAAGAAGGAGACAACAAACCACCAGGTAATTCTCAACTGAAAGTTGCTCAGTCTCCAAGGAGTTAATTTGCACCATGGCACTACTCCAAGCTTTTAGTTCCACCTGAAAAATAAAATGTCCTTTCCTGCCTTGCAAATGTACGCTGGGCCTGAATGCAACACAAGAACAGCTACTGTTTTCTGAGAGCTTGTGGAGCCCTTGCAGGTGCTTGGTTGCTTTGCTGCTTCTTTTGCTCTTTGTTCTGCAGCCTAGCACAAGCATAACTTTGCCCAGTCATTTCTTTGCCTTCCAGAGTGCCAAAGGAAAAGAAGGAACAGTGAGCTGTAAGGATGGGAAGAGCCACTTCAGTGGTTTAGTGGCAGGCGAGTCAAGTTCCCTKCAGCAGCGGCAGAAACGTTTGCAAGAGCATGGGAAAGAAAGGAAGGAATTGTTGTCAAAAGGGACCTTCCAGGTACTGGACAGCASTACAAGGCTGGGAAGCAGAAGGCTGATATTTCTGTAATACTAAGTGATAAAACAAGAGCAAGTGTTTCCTTTAAGCTTCTGAATTGCTAGTCAGAACTAACTGTATCAAAGGTTAATGTCTGTAGTTAATCAACTTCTACACTTGGTTTGTTTCTGTGTCCCTGGCATACTGGCATTTCAATTTTTCTTCATGGTTCATCTAAAACACTTTMAACATTGGTTGGAAAATTGTAAAGGCCAATTTCTCAGTAAGTTTCTTTTGACTTTCCTTTTTCTCTTCCGGGTTAAGGCAGTGATTTTTGGGCTGTGTGAAAATTCATTCTGGTGCTCTTGGGGAAGCTCGATRCTCTAAATTTTTGTTGTACTCAAAGCATGTGAGCAAAAAGGAAATTGAAAGGTGACACTGTTTCTTTCACTTCAGTGTCATTCACTGGTTGTTGTCTCCTCACATTAATTAACAGAATAATTATTGGATTTGTTTCCCAATCTTTTCCATCTCTGTGATTTTATATGATTTGATTATGCAGGACTTSATCAATTGGTCCTGATGTGAAGCTACTGTAAATTAGACAAGTATGTGTTGCAGAATAGGAATTCAAAATCATCAATACCAATACCATTTTGAGACACTTACTTTTCAGAGGATAGTTTAGCAAAGAATGGCAGCAGATGATTTACCACCTTATGTGGTAATCTACTACTCTTCTRTCTATCTACTTCTTGTTCAGCTTCTGGTGGCAAGGAAAGACTAAAGTGCTTCCAAACATTTCTCCAGTGCAGCTCTTGTCTCATCCAGATACCTTCACCTCCTGAAACTCCATTTGTTCTGTCTCCCTGTCAAATTGGGTTTTAACCTTTTGGACTCAAGTGTCAGCTCYACTGTTGTCATCAGTCAGTTGGCTGTAGTAGTGGCTCTGGTGTGCACAGTTTAAATCTCTGGCAGATGAGGATAATCCATCCACTGGAGCTTGAGATCCAGCAAGAGGTTTTGTGCAGGTTTGCAGAACTGCATATTATACAGACTTAACTTATATTGCTGAATGCAAGAATTCCTTGAAATATGTTACTTTACTTGTGAATCTGTGCTCTAATGGCATGCAAAGGGGCCTCTGATATTGGCTGAGATATGCTAGAAATGTTGTAGCTCCTTTCATTCTTACAGGAAAGTGTATAGCTGGGCACTTGGAAGGGGATATAAGGGACTCAACAACTAAGCAGGTCATATTAAATCCTGCAATTGTGCAACACATTATCCTTGTGCTCAGAAAGGTCCCTGGAAGAAGGAGTGTTGGGCTGACAATGTTTCTGTTTTGTTGCAGCTTCTTTTCTTTTTTTTCTCCCAGCAGGCTGGGGTGGCTGTGGAGCTTGATATGGAGCTGCTTCCTTGTATTTCACACAGGATTTCTTCCTTCAGGGCCAAAGTGCTGAGAAGAAAACAGATACTAGCATAGCTGAGGCAGAACCATGCTCAGAGCTGAATGCTGAGCAAACAGAGACTTCAACCAAAATGCCTGGCAGTGGTGCAGAGGCTGTGGGGGTTCGGCARGAGCAGCCTTTCATCGTCCTGAGCCAGGAGGAATATGGGGAGCACCATTCATCCATCATGTACTGCAGGTAATGCACTGGCAGAAGAGGGCTGTCGTGTAGAGGCCTCTGCAGATGGACCAGCTGTGTCTGGCCTCTTTCTCGCAGCCTCTGTTCTCTCCAGCACGTTGGACATGTACTCTTAGTTATAGGGCCATCAAGTTGGTGTGACTGAAAATAGTGTCCAGCTTGTGCAGTGAGAATGGACAGAGACTTTTGTGATTGATTGATGCTAGCCAGGAAGAATCTCCTTTGGAAAGCAGGATGGTATTGCTTAAGGGCATTTCACTGTATATCTGGAGCTTAGTGCACTTCATTGTGCCAGTTAGTGTGAACTGAGCAGGAAGTGGTGCAAAGAAGTTCTGATTCCTGCAGAAGGAACTGGTGTGTGGCCAGGAAAGGAAGGATTAGTGGATTGCAGCTAAGAATTTGAGAGAGAAAAATATCCCATTGGTTTCATTCTACACACAGGGTTGATTGTTCTGGACGGAGGGTGGCCAGCTTGGATGTGGATGGGGTCATCAAAGTCTGGTCTTTTAACCCCATAATGCAAACTAAAGCTTCATCCATTTCCAAATCTCCATTGCTGTCCCTGGAATGGGCCACCAAGCGTGATCGGCTGGTGAGTAGTCTGCGTGTGGAAGCTTGGGAGATGCAGCAGATGATTTGAGGGTGTGTTGCTGTGTGTTGTATGTTAACTTCTAGACAGCTGCATTGTGCAGAAGATTTGAGCAGTGGTTAGTTTCCACTTTTAGTGGGACATGAGAAACCAAAGCCTCTAGGCTCTAAGAAAAACCTGAGTGGGGAGTGTAGGCTCTGTGCTGAGCAAGGAATTCACCACCACTTGCCCTGTGGGTACAGCTGCAGGATAGAAGTAGTTCCTTTTGAGAGAAGAGCCTGTGTGCACACAGATCACGCCGCAACTTGTGAARACAGGCAGAGGCAAGTGAGTACAACAGCTTGTGGGAACCCTACAGCAGAGAGCTGTGGAGCTTACTCATACTCTGAGCCAGCAGCAGAGAAGGGAAAACGGGTGTAGGGGTAGCATTTTACTTCTGTGTGTGTGAAAAAAGCTCCGTGGTGAGTTTCAGACTGGTGTCTTAAGAGCTAAGGGTTTATGTGTGCATGAGCTCGGAGCTTGTGTAAATAACAYGGCAGTTTAAATGTTTCCCATATCCCTTTTTCCTCTAGTTCTGTTACTAGAGAAGAGCCTTAAATTACATGCATTCTTCTGAGTCCTAGAACTGTTGCTCTGTTTCATGCCCTCCTTGGCAAAGGCAGGGCTGTATGAGAAGGCTGGCCTGCAAATGAGGCAGCATTTTGTGCATTCTGGCACTAACTGTGTGTGGCTTGCTAACCTCAAAATGCCACCTGTGAAGGGCTGGTGCTACAGCTTGTCTCTTTCTTTTCTTTTTCTTTTAGAAAGCAAGTTGTCGATGAAGTTGTTGCACTTTTTTTTTGTTGTGATGATGTTTCTTCTGCTTTGTGGAATTTATTTCTTTCTCACTAAATAGAAAGATTATTCATTCTGAAATACATGTGGGATTCACCAGCAAATTAGGCAGTGAAGTGGCAAAGATCTGGCTTGCTCTATTTTCTTTTATAATGCATCTCTCCATGATTTAAATTTTAAATGAAATTGTAACACCACTGACAAAGCATGTGTGAGCTCTTCTGGATGCTTTCATTTTCCCATGGATGAATGGAGTTGGCTTCTGCTTGATTTTCTCTTTAGCACATGATTAACAATCTGAAGCTTCTCCTTCCTTGGACTCCCTAGATATTCAGACTCCATACATGTTTTGCATCCTATAATGCTGAGCCATGATCTAGAAAGTGGTGTTTATACCACCCTGGTGCCTATTAGGTCTTTTTCTCACTGGAAAGCAGGGTTTTTACTCTGACTTTTGTGGCTCTGGGGTCAGAAGTGATTGCACAGGAAGACAGGATGTACCATAATGGAGTAATACATAGTCTGAATACTTAAATAGCAAAAAAATGACTAAGTCTTGGTGGTTGTTAGATAGCATCATTGTACTGCTCACTCACACTCTTTCCATCTCCTTCTTGCTGGTTTCAAGCTATTGCTTGGCAGTGGGGTTGGCACAGTTCGTCTTTATGACACAGAGGCAAAGAAGAATCTCTGTGAAATCAGCATTGATGAAGACATGCCCAGGTAACTCTGGAATAGTGATTTTTATGTATAAATATAAATAAATAATGTTGGTTTTAGCGGTGAATGTCTCAATGTTCCTGCTGCTTTTCTGCAACTGCAGAAAAGGCTATCCAGCCTTCATCCAAGGCAGTCCCTGCCTGAGCAGTGTAAAACTGCTCAGTTAAATGGGAGACACTYAAAATCTGTCTAAGCACATGAATCCTGCCCTCCTTTACAGTGCACCCTGTCTTGCAGGGTCTTAATGGGAAAGCTGGTAGGTGAGTATTTTGCTTGAGGCAGCTGCAGGAGAATTGATTCAGACCATGTGCTTGTGTTTCAGGATCCTCTCGCTTGCCTGCAGCCCAAGTGGTGCCTCCTTTGTCTGCTCTGCAGCAGCCCAGAGCCCCATCTCCCACATTGACTTCTCAGTAATCAACTCTGGGGGCAAAAGCATGAACCAAGTTCCTGGGAAGCTGCTACTGTGGGACACTAAGACGATGAAGCAGCAGGTACGGGCTGGATTTCTTTCCTTTCTCAGTCTGCTTGCTGAGAATGAGTGTCTTCTGTTTCAATGCATAGGAGCCCTCTTTCTAAATTATGCTGACTTTCTTTTCAACACCCTTCTTTTTCCTCCTTCCTCCTTTCCTCTCTGTCACATTCAGGATAAAAATGAATAATGTAAGTAGCTGCTGGATTGGGTGAAGTTTTTTTGTTTTGTTGGTGTGTTGGGATTTTTCTGAGGKATTCTTCAAAATAATCCATGCTCTTGTTTCTATCCTGGCTGCACAATTTGTGACTGGAAATATCCCAAGTGTATTGAATGATGCTTTGCTCAGGCTTTCTCCAATTGAGCTATACTGAAGGGTTTTTGTTGCTGCTGTTTCCCTCGCCCTTCCCACTGTTTTTAAGTGAAGTGCTGTCCCTGACATGTAGGAGAAAGCAACACAATCAAGCTAATGCCTGCCAGAAGCTGGTTTTGCAACCTTGAGGCCATGGCCAAGGAAGCTGTGGCTTGGCTGAGGTGAATTGCTGGTTTAGTGTCACAGTAAAATGCYGCTGCCAGACCTTGAAATCTGTAGTCATTAGAGGTGTAGGGCTCCAAACCAGAGTTCTTGCTGCTAAATACCATCTTTCTTCCTTCCCCTGGAGTTCAGCTCTTCAGCATCCCCAGCTCCGTTTCTCAGCATTAATGCAGATTTTCCCTTCCAGCTGCAGTTCTCTCTGGAGCCTGGGCCCATTGCTATTAACTGCACAGCCTTCAACCACAATGGCAACCTCCTGGTCACTGGGGCTGCAGATGGGATTGTTCGTCTCTTTGGTACGGTGGAAAAGGACCTGGGGGTGTTGGTTGATAGCCAACTGTGAGGCCAGAGGGCCAAGACTGGCATCTGGGCTTGCATCACAAATAGTGTAGCCAGCAGGATGAGGGAAACGATTGTCCCTCTGTACTTGGCACTGCTGAGGTTGCACCTCAAACAGCATGTTCAGTTTTGGGCCCCTCACTACAAGAAAGACATTGTGGAGCTGGAGCATGTCCAGAGAGCAAACGAAAGCTGGTGAGGGGTCTGGAGCACGTGAGGAGTGGCTGCAGGAGCTGGGGTTCTTTCTTTACTTAGAGAAACGGAGACTGAGGGGGGCACCTTACTGCTTTCTACAACTATCTCAAAAGMGGTTGTAGCCAGGTGGGGGGCAGTCTCTTCTCTCARGTAACAAGGGATAGRCCAAGAGGAAACAACCTTAAGCTGCATCAGGGGAGGTTTAGATGGGATATTAAGAAAACTTCCATCACCAAAGGGATTGTCAAGCGCTGGAGCAGGCTGCCCAGGAAYGTGCTGGAGTCACCATCCCTGGAAGCATTTAAAAGATGTTGCACATGTGTCACTGAGTGGTATAGTTTAGTGGTGCACTTGAGAATGTTAAAGTAACAGTTGGGCTTGACTATCTTGGAGGTCTTTTCTTGCTTAGGTGATTCTATGGAACTGGGTAGTGAGATGGCCCCTAGTCCTCAAGTGGCTGCCCTTAGTACCCTTAGTACTTCTGCCAGCAGGAAGGCAGCTGTGGGGTATCTTTGGAGACCAAGGTGGAAACTATCCCCTCTCCTGCACAGGAGCTCTCAGGAGTGAATTGACACAGACTTTCTCTGGAGGATATCAGCGGGAGACCCTGATAGTGCTGCTGGATTTGTTGTTTCTCTCCTGCTGAAGAGGAGAGTGAATTTGCCCTTGAGCCATGTGGTCTTGGGCTGGGTTAGACAGCAGTACCACTGGAGGCTGAGTCTTGAGGAAAGCAGTTCATAGGAGACTTTCCATTTGAAGGCAAGAGTTTCACATCACTCTTCCCTCTGTGAGCTGTGTACTCTAAGTGAGAAGCTATATGTGGGTGTATACACACAGTGTGCTGGGATTGGATTGGGCTCCCCCAGGCTGGTTTGGAGGGCTGTCACAGAGACTTTAGGAGTGTAAAAGGCCTCCCTCTCTTCACCTCAGCTCTGTGAGTATGAGGAGTATTCAGTACTGGTTCTCCCCTCAGATATGCAGCAGCATGAGTGCGCCATGAGCTGGAAGGCACACGATGGGGAAGTCTACTCCGTCGAGTTCAGCTATGATGAGAACACAGTCTACACCATAGGCGAGGATGGCAAGGTAGGCTATGGGTGGCCTCCTACTGGTCACCTGKCAGTGAGTTCACTTCTGGAGTCTTCTCCATGTGGTGGGGACAATGGTAAAAATAAGCTCAGATTAATAATTGGAGCTGTCTTGGACCTTGTCTGCAAATCCTGCTGTTGGTGACATCTTCTTCCTAGACAGTCCATGTGAAGATGACCTTTCTCTGCCTCTGTGATCACCTCATTTGAGATCTGGGATTCACAGGGAAGCAGATCCTTGAACACTTTGCATAAATTTCCTTATCAGCACCTCCCTGGTTTATAATAAATGCTTCMGTTTCTGTAGTTCCACAGTCTTCAGCAGTAGATGTGTGAGGCAAAGTTAAGTAAGTTCTCACCAGAATACTGCATGCARTGTGGAAGGATGCATAGGCAGTGGTGCTTGTGGAAGGCAGGACATACGTTTGTCTGGGTATTATGCACTCTTACAGCCTTTGCAGCCTGTGTTTTTTTAATATAGCCACTTAAATATAGATGTTAAAATGGCATCTTCTGTTTGTGTGGAATAGCCACTCAGTTTAAAAGCAAAAAAAGGCAACTCTCCCAGTTAATTTCATTAAAGGCTTTTGTCATCTCATTTTTCATTCTAGTTTATTCAGTGGAATATCCACAAAAGTGGCTTAAAGGTATCAGAGTATGACCTTCCCCGAGAAGCTACGGGTCCTTTTGTTCTGTCTGGGTACAGTGGCTACAAGCAAGTCCAGTTCCCACGAGGACGGCTTTTTGCTTTTGACTCTGAGGGCAATTACATGTTGACATGTTCTTCTACYGGGGGAGTAATTTTTAAGGTAAGTCTGAGAAATGATGGGGATTACTCTTAAGTATCCATACAAGCCTTTGTTAATTACAAGGATGCAACAGCAGCCATTSGAAGTTCTTAAACAGCACCTACCCATCCTTGCTCTGTGAAAGCTGCTGCTCAGTTTTGCACATTTCAGCAGTGTGTGGCGTATAGCAAGCCTTTGGATCCTCTGTACATAGCTGGATTGTGTGTGCTTCTTCTTAAATCTTAGTTGTGGCAGTTTTTAGTATCCAAGTGCCTAGGACAAAGTTTTAATCACTTTTTTAGTGTATGGATGCTTGCCAGTTCAATGCAAAATGTATGTGTGTTGACTGGTGCTCATCTTTAATCTGCCTTCCGTCCTTCTGTGTTAGGCTGATTCTCTTCCCTTACTATGGCTTGAAATTAAATGAAGGGTAAGGCTGAATACTTCCAAGTGCCCAGATTTCTGTGCTTCATAATAAGGGTTACTGATCACATGCCCAGTGCCTTCTCTTTTGCAAGACAGATTAGATGGAATTTTAACTTTGCATCTGGGCACTCAGAGCACCTGAACTAACATGAGCTATAGTTTAGGCTTATGTGCTTCTCGTCAGTGTGCGCTTTTAGTCTGCCTCGTTCAATTACTGCAGTTCAGCTGATGTCAGAAGTTGAGCTGGTTGAGGACATGTGCTTCTGTTGTGAGACTGGAGCTTCATTTTTCATGTGTGCACACATCTTCAAATCTCTYTGATTTTCTGTTTACTTATGCATCCTGTTAGAGGTATGGAGTCTATCAGGCTTTGGCTTGTCTTATTGGATCCATTGCCCCCACTGCAGAAACTTAACCTCCTTAAAATCTTGTGCTTTCCTTTTTTTTTAGTTAAATGGTGAGGAAAAGGTTCTGGAGAGCTGCCTTTCCCTGGGAGGACACCGAGCTCCTGTTGTCACAGTGGATTGGAGCACAGCCATGGACTGCGGGACTTGCCTCACTGCTTCTATGGATGGGAAAATTAAATTAACAACCTTACTGGCTCAAAAGTCTTAACCTGGACAGTACTGAAGGGGGAAAGAGCAGTAGACTTGACAAAACCAGTGTTAACTCACAGGAACAAACTGCATGGGAGAGATGGCAAAGTCCCTCTTCTCATTGTAGCTTTTGCCTCTTGATAAATATGTTCGCCAAAGCACTGTGCAACAGAATGCCAGTATGGGACTGGATCAGTGGCAGCACTGAAAAAATAAGTCTCCACTAATCCATTGTGGCAGCTGGACTTCCCTCTGTTAGGAAGTCTTGAGTAGCATGTGGCTGGAAGGCTGGGGTCATGCCAGGGTTCTGCAGAAGGAGGTAAGGCTAGAGGAGGCAAGCATGAGGCAGCACAGTGCATGATGATGACTCAAACTGGAAAGGCTGATGCAAAACCAGAGTATTCTTTGGGTATTGTATGTAACAACATTTGTTGTTATGATTTTGTTAGTTTGTTTTTATTTGTTTTTTCCATAAAAAGAAAATATTCCCTTGCACTTGAGCTCTATGCTTTGTTCAGCAGTTGCTGCAAAACGTGGAGGGTGGCTGGGGCAGTGATGTGCCAAGAGTTTTCTGCATGCAAAAGAGGCCCTTGTGCTTTCACCAGGTGCTTCCAGCACCACRCCTGCACACCAGGGTGAACCAGACATCCAGAAACAAAAATAACTGTGTTTGTTTGGATGTATTGTCTTACCTTGCCATAGGTATCTGCTACTAACTAGAGTAGAAATCCTGAGTCAGACTTTGAGATACTTGTGTTGGGATTCAGAAGCTACATAATGCCTAGCAGCTACCGTATAGTGGGTAGGAGGGAGGCCTGAACCAGTCTGGCCCCTTATAGGGCTCTCTGTSACTGGAGCTGTCTCTCCCCCTAAGCTCCCCAACATCGGGGCAAGTGCTGTGCTCAGATATTGCATAGTTTTTGAATGGACTAAGCAGATAACATTTCATCTGCTTACCCATTGCTAGGGAGCTTTCTGCTGCTTATGTCCTTGGCCTGTATTGGGAGTTTATGGTACCATTGTTCCATGGCAGAGCATGCACTCCCTGCTGGAAAATGCACAGCCATTCATGAGCCATCTGGGTAGCCATATTAATAGACAGCTGTTCAAGGGCAGCACTGCTGGATGCTGAAATCCTCACTACAGACATGTTCAAGCTTACAGGTACCTATTGTCCATGCAGTAACTTGCTCTGGCTGACTACAATCATCTGATAACCGCACCTTCCATTTCAAGGGCCTCCAAGATTAAGATTCCCCTGGCAGACAGGGTTTCCATCTCAATGGGATGTGATACTAATGGTGCTGCTGCTCTTCATGCCAGTCTGAGGTAATGATTCCTCAAATTGAGTGCTGACTTCAAACTGGCTTCAGGCATTCCYGTGGTTAGTCTGAGAGTCTACAGCGCTCTCCAGTGGGAGCCTTTGTTGGCCTCTCAAAAGAGATTGTAGCTATATTCCAAGCACTGCAGGGTTGATTACATAGATGTTTTAGAATTTAGAATTACAAAATTGTAGAATGGTCTGGGTTGGAAGGAACCTTAAAGCTCTTYTAGTTCCAACTGCCTGAGGCCACCTTCCACTMGACCAGTTTGCCCAAAGCCCCATTGAGCCTGGCCTTGAACACTACCAGGGCTGTTACTTTCTTCCARATATTATCTTCTTCCAGTCACTTGRGATTCTAGARACCACTTTCRGCTYTGATTCATAAGTAGGAGACTAAAAACCACCCAAACAGGTAAAGTATTAAAAATGAGCTCCAGACCAAGGCTGCTGTGCAAAATGATGCATCAGCACAACGTCGATACGGTGCGAGAAGCTGGAGGGAAGGAATGAACATGTTTTACTAGAACCTGCTGTATTCCTAGAGGGGTTTTAATCCATCCTTTGCCCAGGCTCCCTTCCCGCTTCYCGGCAGGAGCCCCCGCCGCTCGGGCAGAGCGGCGCAGCCGGGCCCGCCGGGGCTCCACTGCGCGCCAGGGCCAGCACAGCGTCCCGGCAGCGGCGTGTGCGCTCGGTGTAGCGGCGGTACCGGAGCGGAGCCCCATCCGGCCCATCAGGCTGCTCCCGGGGCCCGGCGGCTGGCATGCATCGTTCCAAACGTGCCGCCTGCTCCGCAGCTGACACAGAACCACGTCTGCTCCTTGCCAGAATATCGAGGGATACCCGGCCTGGCCGGCTGCCTGCCCGCCTGCGTCGCCTCACGCCCCGCCTTATCAAGCACGGCGCTCTGCCGTGACTGGGTTTTAGGGCGGCTTGGGGCTGCTTTTCCAGCTCTCCCGCGCTCCCGGTCGGGCGAGGAAGCGGCCTTGGCGTGCCGAGCGGAAGGCGCCCCGGCGGCACCGCCCCGCGCGGGAATGGCGGCGGGGGCGCGGCGGCGGCAGCTCCCGGCCTGGATGGGGACGGCGGGGGACGAGCGG